TAGTTAGGGAGTAAACTCCTGAGCTCAGCTGAGGGAAACAAACGTATATTTTAGTTGTGATTTAATCATTGTGAACTGCTTTTACTAGCGTTGTTTATATGTGGAAACTCTAGTGAATAGCACTAGTTTTATGCAAGGTATTATGCAGCTGAGAGAGGCAACTTGGAGATTATGAAGCTTCTACTGGAGAATGATGCTGACCCGAATCGATCAGAGTGAGTTGAGGAAATGATGGTATGGTTATTCTTCAATAGGCCGACAACTTTCACTGCACTTTATGCTGCTATTAATAAGGGCCAGAACGAGGCGGTTAAACTCCTTTTGGAGTGGCAAGCAGATCCTAATCAAGTTGTGGGAAATGTTGATCCTGCTAAGAGATGTTTTGGTAGGGGGTATTTGAGGAATATATATACTCGTTTTCTTCAACTGAGTTTAGGAGTTTGGATAAAAATGAGAATTTTGCAAAATTTTCGCACAATTTTATTATACTGTCACCAACACTGCAACGTTTCCTCTCTAATTATAGGAGTTTATATACGAATTCGGGTAGAAGTGTACAGAAACCAATACAAATTTTCTCAAAGTTTTCGTATTATCACTAACACATGTAGTTGACCATGTGCTTAGTTTCCCACACTGCCAGAAACACGGAGTCTTCATATCACTGTTATGAGGCTAATCGTTTAAGTCCATATTTAATTAGGAACATCCCCGTTGGCCGCCGCTATCAAAAAGGGATCTTCTGAGCTGGTTGATGTATTGTTGGATACGAGAAGGGTGGCTATAAGTAGGTACTCGGTGAGTGTTTTATCTCTACAGTGCGAAGCAAACAGTTATGCATATGTAGATTTTCGAGATGGCTTTCTTTCAATTCGAGAGTAATACGAATATAGACTACGGAACGCTTCTAAAACGTTGGTGTCAATCGATTCACACTGTTATCATGTTGATATTACTCAAAGTTGACTTTCGAAAAGTGAAAATATTGCTTCGCATAATAACGGTTTGGTTGTTGTTCACACTGTACGTTGGCTTCATCTCAGCTGCCGAAGAGTTCAAGGCGGCCTTTGATAAAAAGTCGAAGCCCTTCGTCAAGCGATTGATGAAAGCGCTATCACCGGATTTCCCGGAAAGATATCAGGTGTGTAAAATCTTCGCTGTGCGCCCATTGGAATGGGGATTGCCTTCGGTGTTAGACTATGTGGGAACTCCGCAGCTCTAATGGAGAGTCGTTGATTCAGTATTTTGCCAGGAAAGGAGATGTAAAGATTCTCGAGATGGCTAAGGGGTGAGTGAAGAGTGTGTGGGGGA